CAAAGTGTAATATATATTATATATATATATATATATTATATATTACAAAGTGTAATATATATTATATATATATATATATATTATATATTACAAAGTGTAATATATTAAAACCATGCTACAATAATCGCCCTGTCCTCGTCTCTCCTACAATTGTTGTATCGCCCTCTCTCTCCTTGTCCCGGAGTTTCCTAGTTTTTCTGCAACTGTCGCTGAAGTCATCTCGAAATACATGTAATACTACTACAGGGTGTCCCAAAAATATTGTAACACCTTGAAAGGTTCGAGAGATGATTTGAAACAACTTTTTCCTTAGCGAAAATGTTGTCCGAGGCTTCGTTAAGGAAATATTATCAGAGAACCCTGACCAATCAGAGCGGCGTATAGCGTTGGAGCGGCCGCGGTAGCGTATGAGCGTAGGCTACACGCTAGGCGGCCGCACTCCCCGACCAATCAGACCGCGAGTATCCCAATGGAGCGCTCGCTGATTGGCCGGGGTTTTCTGTTAATATCTCCTTAACGAAGCCTTGGACCAGAGATGGGCAAAACCCTAGACTTCGAATAAATCTGAAGTTTGCCGATGTGTTTGTTTCGAGACAAACATATCGGCAAACTTCAGATTTATTCGAAGCCTAGGATTTTGCACATCACTGCATTCAGAGTAGAGATGGCTAGAACTGCTACTTGTGAATCACTCGTGATTCGATCACGTTCGTTGCCATTCACGGTGATTTTTCACAGTGATTCGTGATTCTTCGTGATCGCTTCTGATTGGCAGAGAACATTCACTTTTCACTTTTCACGAATTATGTTGTTTTTAGATTATATATGTCTTATAATATGGTCTAAAAGCAATGTTAATATAATTTTAATACAATTTAAATTTGACTCATTTGTAGTTTCTTGAATTTCCGCTAAGGGAAGACAGCGAGACACTAACGATAACAATTAACATGAACCGCTTCTGAAACGCCATCTTCCGGATCACGGTCACTAACAGTGATTTTTCACGCCATCCCTAATTCAAAGTACACTTAGAAAGAGAAGAAGATATATTCCCTAGCCGTCATGTTGGAACAGGACCTCTCAGTTAGCCATATAGTAGTATTACATACAGGGTGTCCTAAAACTCGCGTAGGAGCCGGAAATGGAGGGTAACTGAGACGATTTTGAACAACAATTTCCTTTGCAAAAATGTAGGTGGAGGCGTAATTTTTGAATTATTAACGAAAAACACCGACCAATCACAGCGCGCGAACAGCTGCGAGAGCACATCAGCCGATTAGCGCGCGACCAATCACAGCGCCCGATTAGTGCGCGATCAGCCGCGAGAGCATAAGCTCGAGCTAGGACTGATGAGTCAGCTGAGCACGCGCCAATCGGGCGCTGTGATTGGTCGGTGGTTTTTGGTTAATAATTCAAAAATGAAACACCCACCGACATTTTTGCAACGAAAATTGTTTATTCAGAATCGTCTCAGCTACCCCTCATTTCCAGCTCCTATACAAATTTGGAGACACCCTGTATATGGGAAATCCTTGTTTATAAATTGCGCCAAAATTTGATTGGTTGCATTTCCACGTATGTGTGCACCAGTCCTCAAATGCATGCCGAAATGAAACTTACTTTAGGTTAAACTTTGTGACAAAACTCGGCACAAATATAGCACAATACGGTACAAAAAACAAAAACTCAAAATTCGAAAATTGTGGGGCTATCAAAAATTTTGTTTTGTTGTATATTTTTTTTTTTTGAGTATGCTTTGACTTACAGAGTTGTGGTTTACGGCACAATAAAGCACAAACGGAGCTCAATGTAGCACAATTTAAAAAAATAAAAAATTCGAAGAGTGCGAGGATAATTTCACACACGTGCCGCACAGCTAGATTTGCCAAGCTAGGGTGCCCTTGGGTGTCCTCCTGTAAGAAAAAATGTCAGTGGCACTAATTGGGCGCTGCGATTGGTCGGTGCTTTTCATTAATAATTATGTCTGAAAAGCATATATTATAATTCAAAATATAATTAAAAAATGAAGCCCCATCGACATTTTTCCAAAGGAAATTGTTGTTCAGAATCATCTCAGTTACCTTCCATTTCAGGTTCTTACAAGAGTTCTGGGACACCTTGTATAGTAGTGTCATAATGTGTAATAGACACCTCCCATTTAATAAAATGCATTTATTCCCTGTACAAAAGTTTCATATAATAAATAAAATAAATACTGGCCTTACATCATACAACGATTGTCTCTTTGGTTTTGGGGACTAGTTTAAAATTAACAAAAAATAATCATATAGCAGTATCGTAATTGACTGTTATTGTTATCAAGGCACTGTGTCATACTGAGTATTCGGTTTTAAAATGTTTTTCTTAAATGATAATGAATTCTTACCTAAATGATAATTAGTCTTTATAAACTAAAATAAAAAGAAAACTACATTTTACTTATGTTAATTATGCAAATGATCATTCTAATCTTAAGATTTTATCTATATCAGAATCTAAATCTGAAATTTCTGATATTGAATCCGAGTGTGAACTTTCAGGTATTTTATTTTTTAAATTACGTGGTGCTGCTTGTGGCAATGAATCGTTTACCACTTTGGGACTGAATGTTGATGTTCTAACTGGGCTCTCTAAAAGAGAAGCTATATTTGTAGAACTCATTCTCTGGTTTTCATTACTATGATTTTCTCTATCTTGTACATACTTTAAAGAAAACATAGTTTCAATCGATCCTACAGGTTTTCGTCTCACCATGCTTAACTGAAATAAAATATTTATTTTTCATATTGTTTAACATTAAATCAACTTCAAATATGTTACCTGTGCTTCAAGTTTTTTTGATATTTCTGCAATTTTATCACTTTGAACAGTCTTTAACATAATATTACTTGTACTTTTGTAACTTTCTCTTTCAGATAAATGCTTTTTCTCATCAGATGTTCTAAGTAAATATCAATAGAATTAAAGAAATTAAATAGAATTGGTATGTAAAATTGTTCAAAAGAATTAGTTAACATTAATTGTTAACATGGAATACAAGTAATTTTACCTCGAAATATTCCAATTGCTATCATATAATTCTTCTTTCTCACTATCATATTCGGATAATGATTCTTCGTTTTTTTCATTTGCCAAATCGAAAAAAACTTTTTTCTTCGTTAAACTACTTGTTGAACCACTCGCAGATTTCAAGACACTTTTATTATACTTTGGAGATATCGAAATATTTTGTAACTCTGACTGTACATGCGAATTACCTGCATTATTGTTCTCAATGGATTTAACATCTAACACTCCTCTACTATTCGTTATTACTTTATCTTCTTCAGAATCAAGTAGAACTCTCATTTTATTCAAAGAGTCTTTTCTTGTATATGTTCCTTGTGAATGCCATGTACTTTCCACTGATTTTATTGAATTTGGAGAAAGTTTTATTAAACTTTCTATATCTTTGTAGCTTGTAATTATTGTAGATTTTATTGGAGATAATTCACTTTCATTCATATTTTTAACAGAATGATCGATTTGTGGAGTAGAATGCAATTTACTTGGTATTATATTCTGTAGTTGTGATGTAGAAACAGAATTGCCTGGAAAAAACATAATTTTATTAACAAATATTCTTTTATTAGTCAAATAACACATCAAGTAATTACCAGGATCTCTTTTATCACTAAATGCTTTGGTTGCTGATAATTTTGAGTTGCTTATTAATTTATTCAAAGACAGATGTTTTTGTTTGATAGTTTTTATTGCCTTTCCCTTTCTAGATATTTTATTAAGAACCTCTTCAATTATCTTTGATTTAATCTGATGATATTTTGGTAATTTCTGAAAAAAATTTGTAAAAGTTTTAAAAAGATACTTAATAAAATTATCTTATAATATTTTATATATATTTTCATTACTTTCATAGTAATTTTTTGATGATGTTTTAAAATGTCAATTTTTTGTTTAAAAGTAGCATTTGGTATTCCTTGCCATTCTGGATCTATTCCTAGATCTCTCAATTTCTGTTCAAATGCATTTTGCAAATTCGACTGTAATCTTTCATGAAATGAATTGTGCTCTATTGTTTTCTTAGAATTTGTCAAAATTGATGATTTTTGTTTATGGCTACGTACTGGAGATTTATTATCAATTACAGTAATACTTTCCGATTCCGACTGTGTTTGTGAATTAGAATCAGATTCGGAGCTTGTATCAGAAGTTACGTCATCTTCTAATGTTTTTGATTTTTTGCTACTATTCGTATTAGATAAATACTTCTGAGATAAATTTCTTAATTTTGTATTTTCTACCTCATTCGTCCCAGTTTTATTCAAATCAGATTTTACAATTAATGGATCATATGAGTCATATTTTGTATATTTTTTTTCATAACCAATTCTCTCCATAGGCACTGAATCTTTAGATTCTAATAAATCATTTGAACTGACATTTTTTAGATCTTTTTTCGCAATTCTTTTATTCTCAAATTTTGAATTTTTCATTCTTTTTGTACTTTTATGTTTACTAATTATTTTATCTTCATACATAACAGGTATATTTTCAGAATGCAAGGTATCTACACTTCTCGAAAGTTTATTTTGCAATTTTAATGGAAATTCTAGAGTACTATCCATATTTCTAGTAATTACTTCTTCTACTTCTCCATTATCACGATCTTTTTCTTTTAGATCATTTTCATTTGAATTTTTTCCACTTTCATTAGTTTGATTTAATGTTACAGATTGATCTCTTCTCTTTTGCAAATTGTTTTCAGAATTTGTATTTCTTTCATTCAATTGTGAAACATTCATTTCGTTTGACAGAGAATGTAATTTTTTACTTTGTTCAATTAAAATGTGTGACTGATTGAAAGTTTGACGTTCCAAATTGCTAACTTTAGATTCGTATTCACTTTTTATATCATCTGCTGCTTTTTGTGTTACCTTCAGTTCTGCGGTAAGTCTTTCTACATCTTTCTGATGCTGGTTTTCCAAGAGTTCAATTTTGGATTTCCAATAATTTTCCTGTGCATGCAACTTTGCATTCATGCTTTCTATATCTGGAGTTAACTGTTCGAATAATTGATTTTTCAACTTTATAAATTCTTTTTCTTGTTGATTCATCAATGTTTGTACATTTGCTTCTGATGTTCGTTCCTGCATCATCTTTTCCTTTTGTCTTAAATTATGTATCTCATCAAAAAGTATAGTTTTCAAATTTTTTATTTCCTCCTGATATTCTTTGTATTCTTGATATTCCTCAGATTTATTAATATCATGTTTACAACTTTCGATTTCCTTTTCGGGCAACTTTTTTTCGTAATCCACCATTTTTTTATTGGCAACATTTTCAGATTCATTCCTTATTACTCTCTCAGTTTCATTTAACCTTTCCTTTAAGTTTTTTATTTCGTTATGCAATCTTTCAGTTTCGCTACGGTAATGCTCATGTATAGGGGAAGAAGTCATGCATAAATCTGAAGCATACGCGTGTCGACGCAGAATGTGAGCGCTTACAAACATAGGAGATATAAAAGTTTTCGGACAATGGGGACATTTATAAATTTCACCATTGCAATCTCCAATTTTAGTTTCTATCAATTTACTTCTATCTTTTGCTTTATCCTTCAAATTCTTCACTATTTCTTCTAAAGTAGCAGTTTCCTTTTTCAATTTAACGTTATCTTCTATTTTTAATCTTAATTCATCTTTCAATATTACCACACTGTGGTCTAAATACTCCTTACAATATAATAAATATTCAACTGCCAGCTGCGCAAGTCGAAAGAGTTTCACAAAATTGGAATCCAGGATCTTAACGTCGTATTCACTTTCTAAAGAATAATCTATTACACTGTTTATATTATCATCGATGGCGTGAAAGTCTCTGTCTCTTATAATTCGATCTATATCTATATTACCTAGAATTATATACATATATATATATATATATATCATATCAGCTACAATATAATAAAGTCAGTAATAGTGTGTTATAAATATTTAGACTACGTACTTATACGATTCCAATCTACTCGCACTCTGGACTTATGCGTATTGAAATAAAATCCTGAATCTCTGGCCAGTTTTGGGAAATCGTGACACCACTTGGTGCCAATACGAAATGAAAATGCCATTATTGTATGTACAATCTTTAAATTAGATTACTTATACGTGTTTATACATTATTAAAGATAACTAGCGATTCATTCGAAGTATAAAACTACAAAATGGAGTAAATGGTTGTGGTATAATTATCATTATTATTGCTTTTGAAGTAGAATAATTTCACTTCATGAATACAATAAATAAGATAACCAGTTACTACGTTTGTACTGGTTTGTACATTTGGAGGTTAGAATAATAAATGTAAACAAGATTTAACAGGTGTGATACGACGCAGGTGCCCTCTACAAACACAGATACATTTAAATTGTATTTATTAATTTTTTGAATACTATTGTTACAATATAAAATAATTATTGTAGTTATTAATTTTTGTACGTACAGTTAATAACTACATAACCTTATTTCATTCTGAATTGATAACGTTGAATTTAACAACGAAATGATAAATCTATTCTATGCATCGTTTTTGTGTTCATAAAACAGCAATCAAAATTTAATTTGAATAATTTGAGATAATTAAACAATTCAAGCAAAATTAAGCAGAATATTTGATCAAACTATTAAGAATTGTTAATCTTAAAAGTATTCGAATACTTTAAAAGTGATATGATTGCAAAGAATGTTAACAATTTGTTTCATCTTATTTATTACTATTTCTTTTCTAACAAACAGATATCTCATCTCGAGTAATACATTTTTAATTGACATAGTTGTACAGAATATAAAATATAGGGTGTCCCAAAAATGTTCTAACACATTGAAAATTGAAAGAGGTGGTTCGGGAGGTGATTTGAAACAACTTTTTCCTTAGCGAAAATGTCCGAGGCTTCGTTGAGGAGATATTAACGGAAAACACTGACCAATCAGAACGGACGCCTAGTCGCTCCAACGGTATAAGTGCGCTCTGATTGGTCGGGGTTTTTTGTTAGTCTCGGACAACATTTTCGCTAAGGAAAAAGTTGTTTCAAATTACCTCTCGAACCACCCCTTTCAAGGTGTTACAACATTTTTGGGACACTCTGTATATTTTAAATAATAATAAAACTTTAGATTAATTATGCAATGTAATAAAGAACCATTTACAAATCTACCTACATATAAAATTTACTTCTAAATTCGTATTCATTTTATAGTACATACAACAAAGAAACTCAATTACGAATATTTATAATAACTAGGCAAAATTACATGTTTTAAATACCAATTACCGATTGGAGGGAGAAAAAAGTATAATGCACGGTAATTGGTTGTTACCCACATAAAAGTATCTGATAGGTTCGTTTATGTTCGTTTAACGTTCTTGACTTTTCGTGCCTTTCGTGATCACGCTTCCCCTCGACCGGTACCACCATCTTGTTTGTTTCATCAATAAAGAGTGTGAGACTTCGGAGACGATTAAAAATTGCTTTTAAATTGTTTTTGTTTGTCTTGTGTACGTTAAACGGTAACAAAGAATCGTTAACATGTCCCACGGAGGTAGAAACGAATGCAGAATTTACGTGGGCAATTTACCGCCTGATATTAGAACGAAAGATATTCAAGATTTATTCTACAAGTTCGGTAAAGTTATCTTTGTTGATTTAAAAAATCGTAGAGGTCCACCGTTCGCTTTCGTCGAATTCGACGATCCAAGGTACGTTCGAGAAATTATAAAACACTAACTTTTCGACATTGTACGAAGTGCGCTCCATTTAGTGTCGTATTTATTCCTCTATTGGCACTCTTTTTCCTCGTTTTCTTATTTCCAAATGGGAAAAAAACACCTTGATTATTCATGTTCTCGTAGTTTGAGGAAAGAAAATAATTGGAGTCGTTAATATACTTAACTTGTAAACAAATTTATTATAGTGGGTCAAGGTTACAGTGTAGGTGTCTTGAAAATGTATGTCAAGCAAATATCGTTCTTTTTCCAGAGATGCCGAGGATGCGGTACACGCAAGGGATGGATATGATTACGATGGTTATAGATTAAGGGTCGAGTTCCCAAGAGGTGGCGGTCCTAGTAATAATTTTCGTGGTGGACGCGGAGCGGGTGACAGTGGAAGGGGTGGTCGAGGTGAAATGAGCAATTCACGAGGTCGTGGGCCACCCGCAAGAAGATCTCAGTATAGAGTTCTCGTTACTGGTTTACCTCCATCTGGTAGTTGGCAGGATTTGAAGGATCACATGCGTGAAGCTGGTGATGTTTGCTTCGCTGATGTTTATAAAGATGGCACAGGAGTTGTTGAGTTCTTACGATACGAAGACATGAAATATGCTGTGAAGAAGTTAGATGATTCAAGATTTAGGTCTCACGAGGTACAATACATAAAATCAATCATATATAAAAAAATTTGAAGCTTATACAGTTGCATGTTGAATAATGTTTTTGTGTTTTTATTTTCCAGGGTGAAGTAGCCTATATTCGCGTGAAAGAAGATCATAGCAGTGGCGATAGGGGCCGCAGTGAAGATAGAGAGAGAGGTCGAAGTCATTCGCGAAGTTATAGCCCACGGCGTCGTGGTTCACCTACCTATTCACCATTACGACGTAATTATTCGCGATCAAGATCTCGCTCCAGATCTCGTTCATACGACTAGTGTGTACGTATATGTTTCACATGGTAATATAAGTAAAGGCTTATCAATATTTGCTTTACCATGTTTCATTATTACTGATTTGAATTTCACTTAAAGACACCTTCCAATCCAAATCGAGTTTGTACAAATTATAAAATTTACTTTTCACGTTGCTTGAATTTAATAATCGTATTGTATGTAATGTATAGTTAGAGCACGGTTCATTTTACCAAAATTATTTTCAATTATTTTGTCACATTTTTGTTTGTTAATTCTTAAATTACGTTCATCACAGATTGATCCAGATATATTATTATTTTACAAATATACATACAGAGTTGATTGTTTGAATAAATTTGAAATAGCAAGTATAATTTTCTAACGATAAAGGTTGATATAGTGTTTTAAATGTCTTAATCTCATTGCCTTAATAAAGAGGAATCGTGCTCATATTAATCGCATATTATTGTTGATGGTATACCGGTTAGAGTTACTTTTATGTTTAAAAAATACATTCCTTTATATTTTGCAATTTGTTTTGACACCACACCAATATTTGAAATGTGTAACAATTTTGAAGTATTACGAATGAAAACCTGAAATGAAGCAACTAATATTACTTCAGTGATTTCATCGATGTTCACATTAATAAGCAGTATTTGTCGTATAGGTACTAATATAGCATATTGGTAAATATACTACAATGTCTCACTTGATGTGAGAGCAGCCTATGATTGTGTTTTTACATATATTTATTCACATTTGGAGTGATGAGAATAGCACATTTTTAAGCATATTTAACAAGTAAAACTCTCTTAAGCTTTTAATGCTAAAATGCTTATTGTAAACATTTACGAAGCTAACACTTTTTTTTATGATTAACAGCACAAAATTATACTGCGTACATTAGAAAAGGAAAGGAAGTAATGCCATAATGGAGTAAATTCACATATATTTTTAATGTATTCATTTGCATAAATATTTATTTCCGTTTACTACTGTTACTTGTAAAAATGTCATGTCAGTATTGGATTCAGATTTAAAAAATGAAACCCTAGTAGTCTGAAAATTCTGTAAGACATCAATCTATTCACACGTAGAACATTATGGCATTTTTCAATGTAAATTCATCAGATAATTACACCTTGTGTTAAACATTAATTTTAACAGATAACTCGTGTGTACAAATACATACATCAAGGTTGTTTACACAGCTCATCGTCGTTTAAGTTGTTACACAAATTTAATTAATTTTGTTTTGCCTATATAATGATGACAATACAACATACTCTCTGTGCTGAAAATACAATACTTAATACCTAGAGAATGTAATACATCGATATTCATCGACCGATGGTTCATATAGGGCATAACATTTGATATATGTAGGTAAAAGATTTATTTTTTACTAAACGATTAATATCCATAAGACCAATTTGCTTTGAAGAAAACACATACAGCTATCATTTGTCATGTATTGACATTGTTCACTTGATATAGTAATGAATTAAAGTACATCTCATCTATTTAAGTATTCTTTAACGACGATCATCTGGCCATTATTCTGGTTTGATGGAAAAACTGTGTGTTATGTACTATTTGAAAATGAACAAAGTCTAACTCAAATTATTATTAAGAATACAATAACGTGTCTATTATAACTATATGGATACGTGTGAAATATCCATATTGAAGTATATTTTAAGTTATACACGACTTACCTTGAAAAATGTATTTTTATTGGTCGGATGATTTATTAACAAAATATGTTCTGCTACACATTTCTCCTTTTGAACGTTTTCCTTTTAAAAACATAGATAAATTTGCTCTAGTATATGCTAAAAATGTTGAAGGAAAACTATTTCTTGTATTTATGAAAATGTTATTATTGCAAATTGATCCTGTGGTTTTTGCTTCTTTTCGTCCCATTTGTGTGTAACCATCACAGTGGGAAAGGTTTTTAATTTATATTACACAGGTGTGAAATATTCTTTTGTACAATATCTGCTCAATTTATGACCTATTATCGCGCGTTTGAGTATCATAAGTCACATGGATTACATTTGCAGTGATAAATTTATACATATATACATACATATATACATACACATATATATATATATATATGTATGTATGTATGTAACATTAATACATATTGTATAAGGGACTAATGTATTTTTTCTTCTTTTGTATATTGGATTGGATTGTAACACAATGAATGAAAAACTGAAATCGACACGATCTTACTTCTTGGATGGATATAATACACATTCGCTTGACGGTGGGATGAGATGGAATGCGTTTTGGATGGATTTTGTATGGAGCATATATTATAAAAGGATTAAAACGTAAATGAGAATGCAAATAATGAGACAGTAAGGATACTTTCAAGAGGAAGTTCAGGATCAGGAAAGGAATTGGATGAAAGAAACAATCCATTTCATTCAAGGATTCTCAATTAGCTGGATTTTCATCAGGAAACGTTGGCAAATCCATTACAAGGATTCGAAACGATAGTTTTCTCTTTTAAATTAAAAACCAAAAAAAAATTAATATCTAATCGTGCTAGCAGTGTTTTCGCATTGACGAACTAAGGAAAGAAAATAACTATAACTATAAAATCGCGGAACGAACAGTTTTCGACATATCACGGTGTTTCGTATCTTCACTCTCTCGCGATTCAAGCCTTAACAAAGTGATTCTCGTATTTTTCTCTTACGTTCTTAAACCGTCAAAACTGGTAATGGAATGTCAACCTTGTACATTTTGTTTTGAAAGTACAGTGGAACGTCTACTATTTGAACTAGTAGAAAGATGAAACGCTTCATTTCCCAGGATGCTATACAGGATGGAGCAACTAACCTGTTACAGTTACAGAGCGATTTTGCCTAAACAATCCTTGGTGCAAAGAAACCTTACAGGAAAACAAAATTAAAAGGTTCGGGATGATCTGCCTTATATGACTATTGACTTTTGTTTGGTCCTGATACTGAGGGTATGTCAAGGTCAAGGTCGTTCTGTAACAGTTTAGCTGCTCCATCTTGTGCATATTTCCTTCCATGTTCTAATAATCGATGTTTCACTGTATTCGTAGATTCGTACATCAGAACGTCAACAAATTATTACTTTTTTTTTTTTAATTGCTACCGAGACAATAATTCCGATTCTCTTCCAAGGAAGTTCATTGACGGAAGTATCAAACTTCTCACCTGTATTAGCAAAAGTGATCGATGATTTGCGAACACGAAAATGGAACTGTTTCAATGCGACGCGAGGAATACTCTTTCAACGATCTCATTAGTTTCTCATGTTGCGATAAGTTAGTATAGGCGGATACACGAGACCTCCACGCTTTAGCGCTCCTCAGGATTAAGGAAAACGGGAAAGTGGTCTTAAAAGGAAACTCTAATTCACGTTGTAAATGGCTTATACACTTCCACTCGAAATCAGATCGTCCGAATATTCTTCTCTCGGCTATTTCGATCTTGGAATCGTATCATTGATCAAATCGTGAGCGTGTGCATGTTCTATAATATACATGTGCGGTATATATGTATAGTACGAACTATTACTGCTGTCGAGACTAACGCGTTCAAGAGGATAAATAACTGTTCGGGGTTGAAAAATGTTTAAAAAAAAAAAAACGGAATCCTTCATCTTAACGAGGACCTCTTCTCTTAACGACGGCTCTCCCTAGTTGTTGAGGATCTCTCACGGGACAAAAATAAAATGAGAATAACAGGATAATCGTCAATTGCGGGATTAGGATGCTGACAGGATATAATTAGCGTTCATGGATATACGGATAAATTGGCTGGAAATATTAAGAGGATCACTTTGGGATCTTTTAAACGGAGAATGTACGATACGCAGGATTCATGCAGGATATAACGGATTTGGATTATCGAGGTGTCGATCAAGTCGAACAGAGCGTGGCGTCGTTCATGCTTCAGGAAATAGGTTTCACGGATTTAATCGCCTAGGTCGGATACGGATTTTGGACTTGCACTTAGCGGGATCAATACAGGATATAGTCGGATATCATTTTTCACCGATTGAAACGGACGTGATCGCTCTCTGTAAGGTATTTGATCATGTTTAATATCTGACGTCCTCTCGACACACATTTTCTGCATGCATTCTTCTAAACATTTGTACGTCCTATAAATGTCCACTTTTTTGATTTCTCACCTGAACACTGCTCCGCAACATAACTAACTTGAATAACAGATGAAATAGTAATGCGTGTATTTTCTCTTCGCGACTGAATGTGTGGAGAATTTTTGCATAGTCTTTAATATTATTGGTTTTCTGCGGCAGGAGATTGTTTACCAATTTCCTTAAGGTTTCAGTCACATGTTGGTACTCCACAGAAGGTATCATTAAAATAAAATGGAATATTATTTTAGTTTCAGTTTGTGGAAAGGATTAACATGCAGCTAAAACATTGAAAAGTATTTAGTAAATAGACTCCTGCTAGACTCTAACTAAACATTCCTTTCAGAGAAACCAATAATATTTACACCTGCACAAAAATTCTCAAATAACAGATACATAATACTCGTCTGTTTGAAAGATGTTTAAGTGTGTTTGAATTAATCGTTCATGTTCTTACGTTCAGCTTACACACGTTTAAACCCTTAAAAAATGTCTTTCATATATGTTGGCAGTTCGAGCGTCTGTCATCCTGGTAGTAGTATTAACCTTTCCATGATAGCTTCCAGTCTCCTTTCAAATAGATGATTAATTGTTATGTTTTGGCATTAAGTTATTTTTTTTATCCTTCGACGATAAAAGAAATTTTACAGAGCTCCTAATCGTCGACTACTCAAGAAGAGGCAATAAAAAATTTACATACATTATTAATCAATAGTATGTTTTTAAATATCCTGAATTCCTTTCCTCGGCTAATGTGTCTTATTCAGAAGTATCTCTTTTATGATTACGTGGTTAATATCTATTGTTTTTTTATACTGGAGACAAGAATTAAAGATTACAGGGAATTTGATGAATATTATTTCTAAGATATAGATCTAACTGAAGTATTATCTAACTTGATACAAAACGCGTATTAAAATATATGTACTTATAAACAGTGTATTGGAATCAAACAAACAGTATGTTCTTATTCATTGTAAAACATCGATATTTCGATTTTCAATTAATAAAAACATATTTGTTTGAGCATGAAACATCGTTTATTAATTAATGTATTTAAACACGTATTGGCTACTAAAATAATTTCTTTTAACATAAGATGTACAATGAACTATTTTGATTGTATGAAATTAGTGTATCGGTTTATTGTATCTCAATTTGTAAATTTATTTCTCATCCCTGAAGAATTGTAACCCAAAAGGGAACAATGAAGATTATTATTATCTCTGAAGAAAAGTGGGTTCCACTATCTAAGGAAATAGAGATCCTGAAACGTCTACAGTTTTACTTGGTGAGTAACACAAAGTACGGAATGAAAGTGTAATGTCTTAATCTTCTGTTGATAGTTCTTTTTGGATGATCGAGAGAAGAGTATCTTCTACAGGTTTAGAAGCAAGCAAGCATTTTTTAATATCTTTTTCGCCTCGTTATTTTTTAAATTACAAACAACGTCTTAAATATCTTAACGCTCGAGTAATGTACTTTAAAGTATTTATTTTACGTATGTACACTGAGTTAATTGATATCGTGTGTGAAACTATAGCGAAAAAAAGAGCAGGTAGATTCATTTTTACATTGTTTCACGAAGGGGTGTAATTACAAGTTCCTTGACCAGAGCGGTGTCCGGAGTCTGCAATGCGAAGAGAATAGCGTTGGCTACCTCTCTGGGTTTTAACGCCATGCGTGGATTCTGCTTCAGCCACTGTGTGGTCATCTCAGTCTCCACCAAGCCAGGAGAAATGGACTGTGATAGAAACGAAGAACATGTATGTTTAGGAAGAAGGCAAATCTTATAATTTACTTTTAATCTTAACATATAATATAAACACCATGACTTTTATTTAGTTTCTCAGACATGTATAGATAGTAATAAGAGAATAATTTCAGCGTGCAAGTGCTTACCATGACTTTAATATTCGATTCCTGTTGCGCTAGTTCCATGCGAAGGTTTTCCGTGAAGGCTGTTAAAGCGGACTTGCTGGCGATATAAGCGGGGGACATTGGACCTTTAGGCACCATTGGACCTCCAAGCATCGTTGGCATCCTCATTCCACATGTATCATTCATGTTCACGATCATACCATTGTTCATTCCTGTACAATAAGTGCGTATTTTATTTTTCATTTCTTATTCAAGAAGTTTGTAAGTGTAAATATGAGAATCGCATTAGAAAGATCAAGGACTCCGAAAGGAATTACGTTATCGAGTACATTGTACATTGCACTCTAATTGTTTTAATCTTCCTTCTCATTTAGGTTGCTTAATAAAAGAACTTCAAGTCTGCAAGGTCTCAAGACACTTACCTTTCTTCTTCATCATGTTCAATGTTTCTTTGGTCATGGCAATCAACCCAAGCAAGTTCACATCAAGAGTCTTCTTCCAGTCATCCATATTGCTGTTTTGTATCGTGAGGTCTATATTAATTGCGGCGCTGTTGATCAGGATGTCTACGGTACCCAGGTTCTTCTCGATCCATTCCGACGTATTCCGGATGTCCATTTGGTTAGTAAGGTCGCACTGAAGAGGAATAAGCTTGCCTGGCTGTGATTTCAGTTCTTCGGCAAGTGTCTGTTGAAAGAGTACACGATAAGTAATTTTGTCTTCTGTTTGCTAAAAAGTAAAGTTTCAAGTAAATTGCTCTCTCGTTTCGTTAATTAGTTTACTATCGATTGTAAGTATCACATCTCCGACATTTGTACTTACTCAGTTAATGTATAATTATTTCTGTTATTTTTACAATTTTAGGTATTAACTATTGACATTTATGTACCGAAGAAGACCCAAGTCGAGGGTCCAAACGTTTAAATAAATAAAGTATGCTTATTTAGACTAAAAAACCTAAATGGAAAGTGTGATTTCAACTCACACTTATTAAGAATGAACTCCTTAATATTTAAGAAACATAAGATTGAACTAATTAGATCAATGTATCATTGAACATTTTTAAGATTTCTGCGTGAATCATTTTAATTTTGTATTTACCTTTAACTTGTCCATACGACGAGCGATGCCCACAACTTTCATTCCCATGCTAACCATAAGCTCTGTCAAGCTCTTACCAATGCCAGAGTTGGCACCGGTGATGAGGATTACTTTCTCAGACATGGCTTTCTGATCCATTGGAATTTTTTTGAGATTTCTTGATTCGCGAACGTGCACGACAACTCTGAAACTTCAATCACGCAATTTGTTGTCTGCATTTTGGAATGTCACGCCTTATATACCGAAGTGAAATTGTGGCCCAAGATTACCGAGGTCGCGTTAATCTTAAGACTCAAGATATTTCACCGCCGTTTACACGCTTACAATTGTTGTAGCGTAGCGAGTAACATAAAAAACGATATTGGGTTATTCTCAGAAAATAAACGAGCTGATAGATCCATTGGGAGACATAAGACCACTGGGAGACATAAGATAGAATGGTATTTTGCCATGAAACAGACTCGGTTTTGTTGAGATAAATTTTGTTTTAATTTAGAAATTATTTCAATTGTTTCTTCCTTACAATAAAATATTATGTATTAGGTTGTCCCAAAAGTTTCATTCGTTTTATTAATAATTAATATATACACAATACTTTATGTTTTATGTTACATTACAAAATTGTGTACAATTCATTTCGCTCCATTACTGTTACAGCATCAATGTCTAAGAAATTAGATTGCCTATTTATATAAACACTGCCATAGTAAATAATTGAATGCAACTCACGAAAGAAACTTTTAGGGCAACCTAATACATATTTATGTATATAGCATATCTTATAAAATAAAGGACTTAAAATGACTTAATTTTATATTTCATCATTTGAAAAACGTTCCAAAGAATCATTTATTTCTCGATATCTTTAATCTAGAGATTACCACTCCCTTTCAATTTTAATTACATGCAAAAGTTGCTTAAAATGTGGGGACATCGTATGTTTACTATAAGAAGAAGATACAGATATCTTCAATGAAATTCTTTTCAAATATTGCATCAGATGTATTACCTTTACATCTTTTATTTGTATTATTACTACATGTGTATGTTATGTGTTTTAAGAATTATATTAGGTGGAATGGAAAGTAATGTCGTTTCTTTTACATTAAATTCAAACAAATTTTTTATAAATTTCTATTTTTAATTATTAATTGTATAATCGCTCCCGTTATCAATAGCCTTTTGCCATCTAGTGTGCAAATTGTCAATGCCAGATCGATAAAAATCAATGAGGTGATGAACGATAAACAAGTATTTAAAATTGCAAAAACGACATTATTTTCCGGTTCACCTAATATTTAAAAATTGGTACATCTTTTATTAGCCTATCCTATACAGTGTAATTTTTCAATAATACTGTCATAATTAAACAATTCAACTTATATTTTTTCTTCCTCTTTATTTGCAATATATTTGTAATATATGCGACAAAACTGTCAACAGATTAAAATATTAAAAAAAGAGGAATAAAGGAATTAACGAAGAAGTTAACACATTCAAAGTGTTTCATTAGTTAAGAATATTGCATCAGAATTTTAAGCGAGCGCGGGAGTTTTCGTTTTGGCGCGAATTTGTCAATGGTGTCTTCTGTACATCGATTGCCATACAAAGATCGATAGAGCCCCGTATCGCATAATTCGCGCAGGAATCTCAAGCTGTCGGCTGCCGATTCGCAGCACTCTTTACTGCGTTCTTTCGACTTAATTTCCATTTGAAAAAGCCCACGAGCTTTGTGTAAAAGTGCACAGCCTCGTTGAGGTCCTAATTTATTTAATTCCACTTGATCTTCGTCGAGTATTCGAAGAACCTGCTTGGTTAGAATAATAGCATCTTTCGAGTGCCCCTTAGATACCGCTATTTTCGCGCGATCGTTCAGGATATCGATTATGCGTTCCGTTACATCGATAGCATTTCGAGAAGCCGGTAGTCGAAGCTTCCGCATTTTTTCGCGGCATTTCAGGTACATCTCCAACGCCAAGTCGTCGTTTCCGCGTCTAAAGAAACTGTCACCGAGTAAAATATACGCTTCCGTGAAATATTTGGCGAGTTTACTGCTATAAATGATGCGCGCCGCTGTTTCGAGTTTATCGTTTAGGATGCATTCCACCGCCTCGTCGTACCTGCGAACGAAATATTCGATTAACGTCTTTACGTCGATTCAATCGATTCATGGCAGAATTAGTTTTCCCTTTCGAAAGTGCGTACTGTGCGTTTAGCATGAAAATTTTGCTGTCTCCTGAGTTTCTTTTCACCGTTTACGATGTTATCGCGATAAACTTTCAGGTAAGTCGAATAACGATATATTCACACAGTAGTTGATTAATGTTAATTGATAATTATGAAAACGTTATACAGGGTGTCCCAATAATTTTGTAACACCTTGAAAGGTGTTGTTCAGGAGGTGATTTGAAACAACTTTTTCCTTAGCGAAAATGTTGTACGAGGCCTCGTTAAGGAGATATTAACGGAAAACCCCGACCAATCAGAGCGCGAGTATGCCGGTTGAGCGTAGTCTACGTGATAGGCGGCCGCGCTCATACGCTACCGCGGCCGCTCCGACGGTATATTCGCATTCTGATTGGTCAGTGTTTTCCGTTAATATCTCCTCAACGAAGCCTCCGACAACATTTTTGCTAAGGAAAAAGTTGTTTCAAATCACCTCCTGAACCACCCATTTCAAGGTGTTACAACATTTTTGGGACCCCCCTATAGATATAGTAGTCGCAAGGAAAGAATTTGGTCAAAAAGGTGGGACGCATAGCTCATCGAATTTTTATCCTATTCACTTGATTCAACGCTTAAATTGAAGTTAATTAAGTTTATATGCTTATGAACCTCGACTCTTAATGAATTATTATTATAGCATAAAATTATTGCAAAATAACGGCCGACATGTATCGTTCATTTTCATGTTTTTTGCCGCCATTTTTGCAATTAACAATTTTTTTTTGCAAACTGAGGTTCATGCGCATGTTACGTACCTACTAAAGAAAAAAATTTTCTGATTTTACCTATTAAATGTTTTCCCAGGGCTCCACGTATCCCACCGTTTTGACCGAATCCTTTCCTTGCGACTACTATATCTATATATGTATACATTCAAAGTAAATCTACACTATTAAATTTTCTTCTTTGAACGTCCCCTTATATGTAAAAAAAGTTTAAATAACAAAAATTAATTATATCTGGCAATTATATGCATTAGAAAAATACATTAGTTGGGCAAGACTCCATCCTTAAGTTATTCATTTCTTATTCACGAATGCGAGATAAATAATCTTAATGGTACGATTCCTTTACAGAAATGGTACGATTCTTACCGTATCAAGTACCACTGTTTAATCAATTCTTTTCTGGTTTTATCAATCGTAAGCTTTCCCATGATCGACTCCTGCGTGTCTTTGGAGGACTCGGCGAGTTTGTAGAAATTTTTGCTAACGTCTTCCAACCAGGAGTTCGCCTCCCCGAGTCGGCCAGATAATCGCAGGACTATTGCTTTTAATAAAGTGAATCCTGGATTGTAAGGATTACAGTCTAGGCCTTTTTCTATCGTTACTAACGCTTTATCGTAGCAGCCGTGCATGCACCATAGAGTGGTATATCCTGCCATTGTGTGACCAGTATTGTATACGACCTGTATCGTTACCATATTATAATTAGGAAAGTTTACAGGAATCCAAGAGAAGCTTTTTATCCCTTTGGAGTCCAGATTTTCTGATTTCGGTTCTGTCGAGTCTCGCTCGACATAGGACGTCAAAGGGTTTAGGGTAGACTAAGAAATTTACATGTTTTACTCGAGGGAACTTTCGAGAATATTCTACGTTGTATATCTATCGATGGGTTACGGAACATGGGAGATTAGCGAGGGATGGTGGGTGATAGATGATAGGTTATGAATAGACTGCGGATCTTTATGGATTTATAGGAAATTTGAATATGCAAGAAACTACAAAATGCAAACAATATGCAAAAATATAAAAAAAGATTGAAAGTAAAGTTCATGTTATAATATTTGTAGAATAAAATAAATTCCTATTTAAGTTCAATTTTTGAAGGAACACTCGCGAGGATTTTATTTTGCATAAAGATCCGCAGTCTAGTTATGAACTATGAGCGACAGACGATTGGTGCTGGGCGCTACATTATGGGCAATGGTTATTTGATAGGTGATGATGGGCAATAGACGATGAGTTGTAGGTTATAAGTGATGAGCGATGAACGATGAACAACGATGAACAATGATGAACGATGAACAACGATGAACAATGAACGATAAACAACGAGGAACGATGAACAACGAGGAACGATGAACAACAATGAACAATGAACGATAAACAACGAGGCACGATGAACAACGATGAACAATGATGAACAATGATGAACGATGAACAACGATGAACGATAAACGATGAACGATGGACAATGAATTCCATATTATAGGCAATGATGAGTCTAACTAAAAACATTATGTCCTTCCCCGAAAAAGGTGATTCTGTACGAGTACGAGACACTATTCTAAAATCTCGATAACGTGTTGAGTCATATTTCCACCGACTCGTGGTGACTAGAACCGCTATCAGAATTCTCGCAGCTGTAGTAATTGCGGTCGTCCGATCTGCGGTCATCCAGGCTGCGGTCATAGAGGAATTAGCGCGATTTGTGGTCGCTGCTTGTTCTGCTTATTTTTAAAAACGTGATGGGGTTCGAGATGTGGTCTGGACGCGAAGTGTACCTAGCCAAGACTAAACCCTGGATTTCGACGTCAGTCGTCGAAGCACTTCCGTGAGACGGAGTCCAACTATGTTCTCTGCTTATCAAAGGTGAAGATCTCGGATCAGGTGACAAACTCAGCTGCAACTAAACTTAACTAAATCTCTGACTACAAAGTTTTTGTACCTACGCCTTTTGTATCATCATCTTTGCTTTTTAGTATGGCGAATGAAATCGCCGAGTAATGAAGGTAAAGCGAGTAAGTAAATGAAGTAAGATCTTTTCGACCTGGAAGAATGGAGTTGGCGGAAACGTCGAAAGGGAAACCGTTGGTGCTCTACAAGGGATACCAGTTTCGCCAGTACAGGAGCAACAGGGAAGTGGTCACGTGGCTCTGTCTGAACGAGAAGACGTCCAAGTGCAAAGGTCGCATGGCCACTAGGAACGGAGAGATCCTGAGGTTTGTCGAGCACACCTGCAAGCCTGATCTGGCCAAGTGCGAGGTGAAGAAGCATGTAGCTATCGCGAGGAAGAGGGTGCGGGAGGAAGTGTTGCCCATCGCGCAGATATACAAGGAGGAAGTCGGACAATTGGTCAACAGGGGATACGAATTCATCACGAACGTTCCGCCTTATTCTTCGGTGAAGAGCTCGTTGTACAGGCTGAGACGTGGCAAGCCAGAAGAAACCAACGAAAGGGGAAACGATCAAGAGGACGTTCTCGTTTCGCAGGATCGATGAATTCAAGTTTTCTACTTCTATTCCAGTGTCGCGTTGTATATACTTTTGCGTAGTAAATATTTTATATCGTAGACTGTTTGAGACATAAGTTCTCCTTGGAGTTTGTGAAACTTATTTCGAAGAACATTAGACTACATATTTTAGACTAGAGTCAGCAGTAAAGAGGAGAGGGAGGGTATGACGGACAGTATCAAGATTTAAAGTGGAGAAGTATGGTTCTGGAAAGACTGATGTTGCTATTGAAAGATAGAAAGTATTAATGAAGCGTATTGCAAGTATATTGCTCCTTATGTTAAGATATAGATGCACACTGTTATTTGTAAGACAATTGTGACTCATTACTGTGGTGTATAATGATTCTTGAAGACATTAGAATGCTTGTTTGTAGCTTTCTTAGTTCGAGAAATGAGTGAGATGTAAAAGTAGTACTTTATCTTAGTCCATGAAGTATCTGAGGACATTTGATACTTGGTTACATCATTCAGTAAACAGTGATTCATTATCTTATGAATTTTACCCTTGTTTATGTAATTCATTCAATCAGTACTTGTTAAAAAATAAATAACTTTAATCAACTTAATTTCCTAAGGTGATGGACCGATTGGGCACTTTGAATTTTTTAAGTTATAATTTGTCGATATTTGTATACACATGTGCGAGATTCTCATGAAGCGCACGCGAGAGGTTATCAGAAAAATTCATTATGCTTTCAAGTTAACCTTTTGCACTTCACTTTTTGTTCAAATCAATTACGATATTTTCGCACGAGTCATACAAAAAGAAGGAAACAAATCTTTGAGTAGTAGCTACAGTGGGTGTAGAAAGTATTCGTATACCGATCAATTTCCAAAAAAACTATGTAAAATTGTAATTTATTAACTTATTTTTTATAAACAATGACACTCTATATGTTCTCGGAAATCTCTAGAATAGATAGAGTACAAAAAAATAGGTATCTATGCAAGTTACGAAATTAACAAAAAAAAAAAGTATTCATTCCACGACTGACTTATGACTGACTTACTACTCCCTTACTCACTCCACACTGTTTAATTTTTAAAACTTCATTAAAATAAAAGAAATTTACATTAATTTACAAGTATATAATACTTCATTCGTGGGATTTCCTTTTGATTTTATAATTATCACAACTCTTCTAAGCATTAAATTAACTAAATTATTAGTTATTCGAAGTGGGATCTTCTTCAGTTCCTCTATTAGAGCCATTTTTAAAAGTACTTTTCTGGAAATTAGTAAAATGTAGGAAACTAATTAGGAAACTAGTAAATGTTGTTTGGACTATATCTATCTTAGAGACTTCCAGGAATATGTAAAATATCATTGATTATAAAAAAGAAGTTAAGAAACTACAATTTCACACTTACATTCTACAGTTACATTCTACACCCGCTGTATATAAATTGAATTCAATAGACACTCGATACTAAAATCACGACTATTCATTGTGGTAGGGGTACAGACTTGCAATAATTCTTGAGCCTGAGCGTTATTTTTGTTGAGTTTAAGGGCTTCGGAGAGCATTAGTCTGGCTACAGCCATTTCCTTCAGAAAAATCTTGTATTCCGCGTGCGTCGTCAACAGATCGGATGTTCTCATGCTATTAGCATCTGCCATAAATTCATCCCAATAACGTTGAAACATTACGTACTTATCCAGACAGCGTAGGACCTTTAAGAGCTTGTCCTGTCGAAGTATATTGATCCTAGTAATAGTTCTAAAGGCTATAAAGAAATAAGAAATTGAGTCTGTGGTGGCACCTCCGATCCTCACCACCAGAGGGAAACCAATACGATTAATTATTGTGTATCAATGGTGCCGAAGGCTGAGGATAGATTAGACAATGCAGACGACTCAGATAAGTTAAGTCAGATAGACGCGTTTCCCACAAGCACTCGGTCCCGCTTAACTTTTCTATACAGGGTGTCCAAAAAATGTTGGAAATCCTTGAAAAGAGTGGTTCGGGGGGTGATTTGAAACAACTTTTTTCTTTGCGAAAGTGTTGTCCGAGGCTTCGTTAGGAAAATATGAACGGAAAACACTGACCAATCAGCGCGCGCTCTATTGGCATACTCGCGCTCTGATTGGTCGAAAAGCGCGGCCGCCTAGCGCCTAGAGTACGCTACCGCGGGCGCTCCACCGCCATACTCGCACTCTAATTGGTCGGGGTTTTCTCTTAATATCTCCTTAAGGAAGCCTCGGACAAAATTTTTGCTAAGGAAAAAGTTGTTTCTGTTACGTATACAGAAACTGGCTGTTTGTTTCCGAAGCTCGCGTTCATCAATTTTATTTTATCTACCCTCCTGAAATTTGGAGCTCGGTCTCCCTGGAGTGCATCCTGGAGCTGCATACTCTTAACATCATCTTCGACTTGCGTTGCGTGGGAAGACTTCTTATCTACCCTTTCCCAGGGAACGCAGCTGCTCACCTCAGAGCCACGAAAATCCTAACCGTCAGATTTCCAAATATGGAAATCACCGACGGATCCCCACCAACATTTAGGGGTATATAAACCTACGATTTTCGTTGCTCGGGGGATTAGAACGATAGAGTTACGTAGAGTCACATCACGTCCATCGTTGCAGAGTGTGCTTTAGTGAGATCGGGCTTCAGTTTCCCTTTCGATCAAGTTAACCTTATAGTGCAACAATTAGGTAATTAAATTCAACGTTTACCACACACGACCGCGACAACACAACACTGCACATTTGTAACTTGGTATAGTTATTCTGAATATATATATTCTTTTGTGTAAATTCAAAGTTTCCTAAGTCAATTACTAAACCTTCACGATATAACAAGCAATCCTAGCCTGTGTAACGATCCCACAACATAATAACTTTGCCGCTCGAGTTATTATTCAATTAAATTAATAAGTTGCGAGGCTTTATCCGCGACGCGTACTATTCGTCAACGATACGATTTAAGCTCAGTGTATTCAACCCGAATTCCCTAATTCAACCTGTCCTGCGGTTACCCTTTACTGGGAGATACCGATTCCTGCTAGCTATCTGACCTCGCGCCAGAGTCGCTGCACTTTTTCCAACAACCTCACAATGGGAACCTTACCCTACGGTTACCCTTAACTGGGAGATACCGATTCCTGCAGCTATCTGACTTAACTTATCTGAGTCGTCTGCATTGTCTAATCTATCCTCAGCCTTCGGCACCATTGATACACAATAATTAATCGTATTGGTTCAATTCTCAAATCTATCCCACTCGCTGGGCTCACACGCGCGTCGCTATCGCCCTGGCTCGTAACATTTCAAATCACCCCCCGAACCACACATTTCAAGGACCTCCAACATTTTCGGGACATCCTGTATAATCCGTTCCCGACCGAACTCCACATATCCCTTTGAGTATATAGACATGGAGGGGAATTACCAGCACCGAAAGTGTGTCCAAAAAGTCTGCGTGAGAGAGAAAGGTATAGAATTATATTTTTGTCTTCTCTGCGCATGCGTCAAATACAGTATGAATGCCATGCTATAGGTACATTGGCGTCCACACTAAATGTAACGTTTATTGTAGAAAAATATGCGCATATTATCTTTACGGAATCCAACTACTGTTTATCTCAGCTAAAATCAATAACAGATGCCAAGGAATTATAAGTTGCATTAGAGTAAAATATAAATATATTGTATATACATAAAGCATTGGTTTTTTGTTTTATGCAGTATACAGATTTAGAGAATTTCGTATATTGAATATACATTTCTATTAAAATTATCTATTACAACAATTCATAAAACTGAAGTGTAGGGTTTTTATAGATTATATATGTATACTAAAAGTGCAGGTCAGTACAGGTACGATTATAACGCATGCGCAGAGAGGACGAATATCACTCTATACCTTTCTCTTTCGCACAGACTTTTGGCACACTTTCCGTCTATACAGAACAAAGCAATTCATCCTCCATTTCTATATACTCAAAGGACGAAACGTTCCCTTTCTTTTCTCCTCTCTCTCGCTCTCCCTCTACTCGCGTTCAACCCCACAAGTCTATTGGTTAAGAATCGCCAAGTTATAGCCTACTGTAACCTACTTGGACGTTTATCGCTGTGGTGCCACGCAATTTCACCACCAAAACTTGCTCGTAATCGCCAAGAGCTTCTAGCAGTTGGTCTTTTTCCCAATACAAGTCGCCTCTTTTCGTGTAACACTCGACCAACTGGTCAATGTACATAACACTTATCTCTGCCTTTCCTAGTCTGGTGTCGAATTTTGTCATTCTTCGCGCCTTCTCGTAGTTGCTTGTGGCCGATGACCACTTTTCTTAAATAATACAATTTACAATTATATAATACTTAAGGTTGTTAAAACTTTGCAAGAGTCAGGACTCTGATAATTCAAGTTTACACCCCCCGTGTAACTATTCTCCAAAGCTTCAGATTTTAACAAACCCCTGCTAGATGCATATCAGATACCTTGACGGGAATATAAATCGCCTTTCAATGCATAGAATCCGTGGAATCTTGGATTTAAAAGTAGCCCCTTTTTGATCAACCCCCAAGCGTTCTCCAGGTCCTCCTCCTTCTCGACAAGCTTGGAGGCCTGATTGAACAATGCTCTCGACTGCTGAATCTCTCTGCTCCTGCTAAGTGGCTTGTAGTAGGACCACAGTTGGCGCAACTGTTTTTAATCGTGCTCGTAAGTTCCATCGTGTTCTCTATTACAGTTTCTCTGTGAGAACTACGTCATTGTAAACTATACATTCCTCAAAAGAGTTTACCTTAACACAGTTCTGTATAACGAAATTGATATCAAAGAGAAAGAAAGAGAATCTAAGGTGGAAGTGATTGGGAGAAAATGTGGAAAATAAGTTTTACTAAATTTAAAAGAATTATAGCTGTTAGTTAGTTTGATTAATCGTTTGGCTGAATTTTGGCTCAGGGGCCCATTTTTTTTTTTTGGTTAAAACTTATCAAATCTTGTGAATCTTATCAAATTATCAAATCCTGAGCCAAAGTTTAACCAATCGTTTGATACAATTTGATTTATCTGGATGATGAAGTATCTTCGCGTTTATTAACACTTTACCTACCGGGCTATTTAGAAACAGACTTTAATTAAAAAAAGAATTTTCTACAGTATCATATGCCAATCTAGGCTGACAATAATTCCTCCATACTGTTACTGGGTACATTGAAAGCCAAGTCTGTTTCCAAACACTGAACATTGTAAGTAGAGAACCATCAACGCAGTAAATAAATTCGAATAGCTAAATACTGCAATTAAAAAGCCTAAAAATAGGCTCCCGGTAAATGACGTGTTAAGAACAGGGTACAAGTAAAGGTACTTTCATGGCTTCCGCGTGGGGGTTCTTGTAGCGTTCCTCTGGTGGCGCGAAAGCCTTCTTCTTCTGTGCCAGATCAATGATCTCCATCGTCAAGCGAATCACAGCGAAATTACCATTCGAAAACTGGACGATTTATTTGCGCTGAATAAAAACACAGCGATATAGGTTACGCGACGTAAACGTCAGCTGTTGTTGTCAGCGAAACGAGAATGACAAAGTCGACAAGTTAAAGATAAAATAAACACAGGCCATGTGGGTAGCGCAATCGTGGAAGCAACGATAACGAGTGAACGCGCCTTTTATACGCGTACATAAATAAACATTGTTATTATATCGCTCGTATTATAATCGGCATAGTAATTCTAATAATAGCGCAAACTCGATAGCGATGTACAGAGTGAAGTTCGACGAGTTTGTTACCAGGATTCGCCTAGGGGACGCAGAACGATGTCCTGAACCTGAAGACAGATACAATATTTCAGTGCGATTCATTTTTATCAAACTAAAAAATATTATTGTATATTATTGTACACGTTACTTAATTTAGGCTATACGTATTGGGATGCTTGTTATTTCTTTTACATGGCGATTAATAATTTAGGCCTCCGTTTGTTTATTTTGCTAATTTGCTACACTCATAGACATTTAATAATTGATTATTTATTTTTATAAATATTTTTAATGATCTTTATTTCGTTTTTCATATCATCATGTCTATGGCTACATTATACTATGAAAATTGTGGAAAATTGCAGTAGATATGCAAAATTGTATGAAATAAGAAAGAAATTTTTATATTTATATCTAAAAATATTTAGAAATATCTAGAAATCATATATAGCAATTTTCTGTATAATTTTTTGTGAAAGAAATTTCTATGTGGAAAGATTGAATATTATACATACATATACATATATATATACATATATATTACAATATTGAAATCAGAGTATAGTTATATTAATATGAAGAAGTTAAAAATGGGGAGTAATGCTTACAACAACATGGGATTCGCTCGACAAAATGTACACGGCAGCAGCAGCCACGTCTTCAGGGTCGAGAGTAGGCAAAGAAGCTAACGCCTCGCCCGAGAATGTACTGTAGGAGGCCATCAGCTCTGTGGCGACCAGTCCCGGACTGATACTCTGCAGAAAATGAATCCAGATCTTAGAATCTCGAATAACTAATATACACGGTGTCCCAAAAATGTTGTAACACCTTGAAAGGGGTGGTTCGGGAGGTGATTTGAAACAACTTTTTCCTTAGTGAAAATGTTGTCCGAGGCTTTGTTAAGGAGATATTAACAGAAAATTTCGACCAATCAGAGTGCGCGTATGCCGGTAGAGCGCTCACGGCAGCGTAAGCTACGCTCTAGGCAGCCACGCTCCCCGACCAATCGGAGCGCGAGTATGCCAATGGAGCGCCCGCTGATTGGTTGGGGTTTTTTGTTAATAACTTCTCAACGAAGCCCCGGACAACATTTTCGCTAAGGAAAACGTTGTTTCAAATCACCTTCCGAACCACTCTTCTGAAGGTGTTACAACATTTTTCGGACGCCCTGTATAACATCAATAAATGGCTACCGTGACGCGTATCCGTGTTCCCGTGAGTTCGTGTCTAAGCGTTTGGGCCAGAGCGGTCACAGACCTCTTTGAAGCTGGATAAACTGAGAAACCAGGTATGAAGGGCACTCTATCCGCTGCGTAGCTGTTCACGTTTATCACGACACCCTCTTCACCAGTCTCTCGCATCGCTCGAACCGCTTCTCGTGTGCAAAGACACAATCCGAGCACGTTCACATCGAATACGACACGCCAATCCTCTAGGGTGCCATCTGAAAATTAAAGTTTCATCATCAGACACATCACATGCATACGTCTCGAAATCAGAGACTTAATAAACTCGCGCGCGCGCGCGAGTGAGAGAGAGAGAGAGAGAGAGAGAGAGAGAGAGAGAGAGAGAGAGAGCATCTGCACACAAATGCCAGTGTCTCGCTACGCTTAGAGGTACGGGATAACTCTAGAGACGACTTACACGACGGTTCGCCAGCGAATGACTCGGACACCTTTGGTCACGTACATGACGTAGACGTATGACCAAGTTTGATAGGCCGTCCAACTTACACATGCATTATACAGTCAGTCCCATGAATATTCGTGCTCTGTGTTCATGTTTCCAAATACATTTCTCATTGCATGCAGAATGCTCCACAATTAATATCAGACCTGGAAATGGGTGGTAGCTGAGACGATTCTGAACCACAATTTCCTTTGCGAAAATGTCGGATGGTGCTTCGTTTTTAAGTTATTAACGAAAAATTAGAGGTTGGCTTGAGCCAGGACGCTCCGCCCAGCCGTCGGACCAGCCTCTCGCGGCTCGGCGCGCGGTACTCGGGCACTGTGATTGGTCGGCGGTTTTTCGGTAATAACTCAAAACCGAAGCACCAGCCGACATTTTTGCAAAGGAAATTGAGGTTCAGAATCGTCTCAGCTATCCCTATTTCCAGTTCTTACACTAATTCTGCGACACCCTGTATATACAAATTTAATGTTTACCCATGTACATATGTATAGTACAACGAAACCTTTACTTGAAAACATCGAAACTATTATTTACTTTAGACAAACTTCTTCAATAGACGTAGAGCGTACAAATATTTATGAGACTGACTGTACATATACACCTCCGAACAAAAAAGTAGCACATGGGTAATATTAGGTGTACAAATAAGTTTGCTGGCTTTACATACATTTAGGTGTATTTGTATTTCAAATTGAAATTTTTCCCCCGCCGATCGGTGTCTTACAAAAATTCAATATTGCATTCTCTGTGCACAATGCGATGAATTTTGTCAAAACTACATTGAGCTTTAGCGTATGTAGAGATATTGCAATATATTACCGACGTATCTATTATTGGGTTGTCCGGAAAGTCCATGTCGATTTTTGATAGGTGGTGCAGGCCTGAATACATTGAAGTGGTTGAAAACAAATAATATGTACACATCCCTTAAAAAGTGGAAAGGTTGTGGAACAAAATGGCACCTATGTAATTCGATAAATATATATTAAAATTCAAACGTGTTTTTGAATTTTTCTTAGAAATTGATACGAACTTTCTGGACAACCTAATACAATACCGACCTATGAGCTGTCGTCATTCATTTGTTTTTTTTTTCCGTCTACGAACATGCGGTGAACGATTGTTCAGTGCGAATTCGGACGCCACCTTGTCACTATGTATTTATAACATAAAAATAAAGTATTTTGTGTACCAAGTGCAGTATACTTTATTCTGCGCCCTGCAACAGCGTATAATTTTATCAGGATTTTTAAATAATTATCTTGGCAAGAGTTTCTCGAAAAATTCTTTATCCTTAGACTCGAGTTTTCATCGAACATCTGTAACGTTTAAAATTCAGATTACCTATCAGGGAAGATTCCTTGGTCATGCCAGCGTTGTTGACCAGCACATTCACTGATCCCAAATTCTCCTGCACCCATGCAAACGCGGACGTGACGCTCTCCTCTTTGGAAACGTCGCATTCGACCGCGTAGAGTTTTCCTGGCCAGTCTTCCAGGCTCTCGGCTAGTTCTTTGATTTTCTCTGGCCTTCGAGCGAGGCCTGCTACCAGCATGCCTTGCAAAAATTTGGGAGGAGTGTAATTTTATGTGGGAGTAAAAAATAAAAAAACTAAAGATATTAACCCTTTGCACTCCGCTGTTCCCTCTCATTACCTTTTACGTGGAACATAAGGGCTGCCAGACGTGCAAAAATATGCAACTTCGCGCCCGTTATTGTACTTTCATAAATAAAAAATCGTCATTAGCTCTTGGATTAGAATAACAACGAATTTGTCGACTGCGCTAGTGAAACGTTAATTAACAGTGAAGTGAGAGTCGAATACAGTAGTTCCCGGTTATATGAATCAATTTTTCCCTCGTCTACATCCCAAGGTCTCATTTCCACGATTATCTTTAAAATTAAAGAGACATTGCTCGAATCGACTGGAATCTAATTTAAGGAGGCTCTACAGTTACGCTGTAAGTCAATATAGAGTTACTATTGTCGCTTGATTCACGTAGTAGTAGATCTGGCATAGTATTTAGAATATTACAATGGTTCGCAATTTTATATCAAAATAAAGAAAAAATTATGTTAACATTGATTCTTTAATTTATTATTAACACATCTTGCGCAGGAAGCGACTAAAGTCGTTTAAGGTAGATTCATATCTTGCACGGGGAGCAACTAAAGTTGTTTTGCATGGACTATTGCGCCGCTCCACGCCGAAAAACACAAATAACAGCTCTACTGTCCGTTAATCGCAAGATGGACAACGATAAAATAGAATGTGAAGATGAAGATTTGTATGCAGATAGTTTATCGAATTGCGATGACTAGGTTATCAATGATGATTGTAGTGACGACGAAATTATGTATCGTTCTAGAACTATTATTCAACGAATAATTTCAAGCAGTTTTGATTCAAACCCAGAATCGGATGATTCTGATTCTCAAGGAGAATGGTCATCACAGTAGACAAACGCCCAGTCTTGGAAAAGTTTTTAGGTCGATCAGGAATAGATACGGAAAACGTTCCGGATAATGTAGCGGATGCTGTAGCTTTATTTATTGGCGATAATTTTTTTACATTCCTTGTAGAAGAGTCAAATTGATATTATTATAAAAATATCGATAAATTCACAACTTCCAAGAAAGCCCTCAAATGGAAAGACATTAGGATACAAGACATGAAGAAATTTTTGGAGCATATTCTTCTTATAGGACAAGTGCGTAAGGACCGAAAAGAGGATTATTGGAGCACGGATCCGTGTATAGAAACGCCAATTTTTCCGAAAACAATGACAAGAGACAGCTTTCGTATGTTATGGAAGACCTGGCACTTCAATAACAATGAAGAGTTAATTGATGGAGCAGACAGGCTTTCGAAAGTCAGACCACTACTGAACTACTTTGTTCCCAAGTTTATAAATGTTTATAAGCCTAAAGAGAAACTAAGTTTTATTTTATAAATACCTAAAGTTCACAAACTGCAGCTATTTTCTGCAGAAGTAATATTGTGTACGAATTGTAAAAAATTTTCGTTTGCCCCTCGTTAGTTCAAAAGATACAGGCGATTGTTTAGACGGAGGGAACTATGTCAATTATTAACAAAATTCAAATTTCTCTTTGAGTTTTTTAAAAAGGTGGGGTTAGTGTGAAGCTGGCCCCACCTAATTTGAATCGCCTGTGTCTTTTGAACTAAAGAGGGGCAAACGAAAATTCCACTTGAGCAAACGTGAGCAAACGATGACCAAACATATGCAAAAAGAGAAATTTAAATTTTCTTAATAATTTGATTTTGTTAATAATTTGAATTTTGTTAATAATTGACATAGTTCCCTCCGTCTAAACAATCGCCTGTATCTTTTGAACTAACGAGGGGCAAACGAAAATTTCACTTGAGCAAACGTGAGCAAACGTATGCAAAAAGAAAATTTTGAGTTTTTCATATAGGTGAGCCCAGCTTCACACGGGTGCTAGGGGGAGGTTATTCCTGGACGCCCGTTCGTTTTTGGAGAGTTCGGCGATAATACCTGGACGACAATTACGAGCGGGAGTACAGAATGATTCTTCTACTTCAAAGATTGAAAATTGTAAAATATTGTAAAATGAGTAATTGTATTATGCTCTTTTATATACTTCCGTTCATTCTGAATTCCTGTTACAATTATCCATTCCCAATCCTCTGTATAACCATGTTCCTCACAATAAACCTTTGTCTGTCCAGAATTCTTTTCCTTGAACCCTTAACCATGGCTACAAAATTAATTTATTTAGAAATGATGGGAGAAAGTATGCTAGACGATCACAAGGCACTAGGAATGATTTCCGATATCAAATACCAACAGTGAAGCACGGTGGAGGTAGTATTATGCTTTGAGGTGTATTTTCTTGGAAAGGCGTCGGTGCAATTTACAAAATTGAGGGTACTATGAGCGCTCCTATGTATAGGGATATTTTATCAGAACAAATGCTACCTTATGCCCGTCGAAATTTGCCACGAGGATGGATAATTCAGCAAGACAATGATCCAAAACATAGGTCTGGGTTGCTTCAGGACTTTTTCACGAAGAATAAGATCCGAACTATAGGTTGACTGAGTCAATCTCCAGACTTGAATCCCATAGAACATTTATGGCAAGAGCTTAAACTAAGAATACGAACTGTTAAGTTTACCAATAAAGTTGCTTTATGGACAAAAATTCAAGAAGAGTGGAGAAATATCTCTCAAGATAGAATCATCAAACTTATTGAATCGATGCCACACCGATGTGCCGCCGTGATAGCTTCACAGGGTATGACTACTAAATATTGACGATAAGGTTACATTTGTAACCATTTATGAACATTTTTCCTTCAGTTATCGTGTTTTTTCTTCACGTTTTGTACTTGGCCGGATACTTATGAAGAAGTAAAAATTGTTATCTTTGTTATAAGTAATTACTAGTTGTTGTATCAAATTTTTGAGTTGTACATTTCGATAGTATAATAAAAGTTCTTTACTATGATATATTTGTATTTCTACTTTACACCTATTATACATAATTTAATTCCAAAATTATTTTTGGTCGGAAACTTTTGCATGCAACTGTACGTGATATTTTTAATTCTTTCGTTCGACAATTCGATTAGTCTATAACTCTATACTCACCATTGCGAACCAATTGTTTGGCGATCGCTGCACCTATCCCAGCACTCGCGCCAGTGACGACAGCTACCTTTCCTGCCCATCGATCCATCCTTGCAAAGTCGCGTACGATCTTCGACTGTTGGTCGGCGCGCCGGTAATAAGATCGCTTATAAGTCTAGAAATCGATCGGTAAAAATCAATGGCGGTTAAAAATCGTCCAACTGGTTGGACCGGAAATCCGATAGCCTCGCGGTAAACCCATACCCAGCCTTCGGTCCGACATGTCCTCACCAATTGTCGTTTGCACGATCTCTTACATCCTGGCTACGATCTATTACGATTTTCACAAAATCTTGCGCCGCCAATAATTCTTCCTTACTAATTTCCTCGGTGCAACTATCTAATCTAATTTCATCGAAGATGAATCATTTTCTATGTTAGATTCCTCGTCTTATTTAATTGAATAAAAAACAAAAAATTATTTGAGTTGTTTCGAGCTTCTCGAAAGATTCGATTTATACGTTTTATTCTGAAAATACTTGGCGAGGTGGACCAAGAGTCGTTTCGAAGTACATTCGATCCACTTCTTCGCAGAACTGCAAGTGCACGGTATACAAAGCCTAGAAACTAACCACGGAAGTGGTTTATTAATCGTTTAAAGCTAATGAGAGAGTCGCTTTAGATTGCGAAATCAATTGCTCCGATAAATGCATGGTAGGTGAGTAGGTGCATCGTGTAAGCTAATGACTTTCAGAAAAATCTCACCTTGAGGACGTATGAAACATCAGATCTCTTTGTAGAAGACTTCTGCTTGACTATTCTGACAATACGAATTACAGCTAAACAGGTCCAAGTGGTATTTAACGTATATCATTTCATTAAAACTAAAAGGACTGTGGTCATTTTGAAAATATGTTTGTTTCGTAATAGACTCAAGATAACATTTTGTAACATTTACATATTATATAACACTCACTTTTGGTAGACTATGATTTCATTTTTGGGCGAGTGAAGACATACATGTACATACATGTTCATTATTGTTATAATTAGACTGCGGATCTTTATGTATTTATAATTACTAATAATATATTATAATAAGTAATAAATTAAAATTAATTTATACGCCAAAAAAGAGCGTTCTACATTACATGATGTTATAGGGGCATATTTTAAACTCCAATGATGTGCCAGAACCTCTCGTGGTTCTTCACCGTGTTCACCCTTTAATATCTTACTCATTTTGAGTAATATATTAAAGTGTACGTTTCGTTTTAATACTGATTCCATTTTATCTATAACTTTTTCTCCATAATCACCATTATTCCTTCTAAATGCGTTGCATAAAGAAACGCAGGTTCCAGCTAGGTCCAAAAATACGCAACATATGCTATATGCAAAATATGCAAAACAAAAAATATATTTTTGGAATCATCTAATCATGACATAAATTTCTGTCCAGGTCCCATTCGTCTACCTATTTTCTATAAAAATATGCACTTGCAGAAAGATCCGTGGTCTATTTATTATATTATTCATAATATGAATGAATTAATAGTCTATTCTTCTTAATGTAAATGGATGAATGAATTATTCTTTGTAATATTCTTCATAATACGAATACAGAGATAGGAGTATTCATATTCATAAATATGAATATGAGTAAATTCATATCACGTTATTCACATTTTTATTCGTGAATAACTCGTTATTCACATTTTTATTTATAATTAACTCATCGTTAAATAACGTTAACCACTTACTTACATTGTTTACTATCCTATATAGAATTGTTTTCACTCCAACCAAATGAGTAATTACAAAAATTATGCAATTTATCCAAATAAAACAATCATTGTTGTTACTATTATAAAAAACATTATATTTGTGTTAATAAACACGTATACGAAAGTCTGGAATATGTATAAGCACCTTGGATAATGAATTAATGACATACTTTCATTAACACCTTGTGGTTGTTAAGAATACCGAATAAAAATAATGATACAGGAAGAAAACAATTAATTTCGCAGACTTGGACAAAAGTAAGTAAACAAATTAAGTAAGTTTATTTTTCAACTTCCCCATCGCCTAAGTTTGCTATCAAGCTCGTCGGTGTCGGTATCCTGATAAACATGACAACACGTGATGTACGGTGGTTACTGGTTGACAAAGCGAATTGCAAACATCTTTTAAACTGGCAGAATCAAATCAGCAGAATCATATCTGACTTAGTGGAATATTTGGTACGTATTTTGTACTAATCTGTACTACAAACAATAATTTGGTCCTGCCAGCTTAAGCGAGTGTGTCATTAATTTATTATCCGAAGTGCTTATACATATTCCAGAGTTTCCTACACGTGTTTATTAACACAACTATAATGTTTTTTATAATCATAACAACAATAATAGTTTTATTTGCATAAATTACATAATTTTTGTAATTACTCATTTGGTTGGAGTGAAAACAATTCTATGTAGGATAGTAAACAATGTAAGTAAGTGATTAACGTTATTTAATGAAAAGTTAATTATAAATAAAAATGTGAACAACGCGCTATATATGAATAAAAATATGAATAATGCGTTGTTCACATTTTTATTCATTTTATTCATACTCATATTCACAAATCCGCGTGATATGAATTTATTCATATTCATATTTGGACCGTTTATTTCGAAAGTGGTGTAAATCCATTTTCTCTTGTTTCGAGAAAATTAAAGGTTAACATATCTGTTAATTAAAAAATGTAGGCAAATTATATGAAGTCTGACAATGTTTCTACTGTTTTATCAATATGTAATTTGGTTATATAAATTTGTTTTAGGCGTATTTTACTAAACTGATGTATAGTTACGGGCTGCAAATGGACTTGCACCACTTTCAAAATTAGACAATTGTAAAAATCGTTTAATTTCAATTTTGAAAAATCAAATATCACTTAAAATATACTTCATATTAATCTAATTTTGTTTACAAAGAACGACACGAGATAAAATAAAAGTTGTATTTCTAATTTCAGACGCTAATTACATTGTTGAAATTACAGGATATTGATAGTATTAGGTAGACTGGAAATTAATGTCGTTTATTTTACATTAAATTCAAACAAATTTCTAATAAGTTCCTTTTCTTAATCAATTATGTAATTGCCCTCGTTATCAACAGCCTTTTGCATTTAATGTAAAAATTTGGAATGCCAGATCGATAAAAATCAATGAGCTAGTGAGTGATAAACAAGTATTTCAAATTGAAAAAACGACATAACTTTCCAGTCTACCTAATATTTACTTATGCTCTGCATGTGGCAGTGTTTCGAAATATGCATGATGCTCCGGAGGTATACAGTGTGTCCCAAAAATGTTGTAACACCTTCAAAGGGGTAGTTCGGGAGGTGATTTGAAACAATTATTTCCTTAGCGAAAATGTTGTCCGAGGATTCGTTGAGGAGATATTAACGGAAAACACTGACCAATCAGAGCGCGAGCCTGGCATCTTGATACAAATTTTTTCAACTTTTAGCGGTCTTTCAGGACGTGTAGGTAACAAATTTATAGTTTTAAATTCTTTGTCCTTCATCGATGCTTTATATAAAATAGTGTATGGTGCACTTTTGAGAAACCTCATCCAACATATTTGCAACCAATTTACCTGTTCTCCATTAGAGTTTTTTCTTATCTGTAATATGACACGTAATATAAAAAAAATGTGAAATAACAGGCTACTGGTCGTCAACCATCTGCTAAGCCACCTACCTCTGTCAATTGGACTTGCACCACTTTCATAGTCGATGATTATGCGATTTCATTTACCGACCAATTTTAAATTGTACAGAACGTGGGAATTTTTTAAGAAATTAAATACGGACTAGTCATACATACAAAATTTGCATTAAATTACGTATGAATTACGTGATATCTCATTTTTTTCAAAAGTGGACTTACACCACTGTTAAAATAAACGGTCCATATTATAATGATATTGGACTTATATGAATTGGTTGAAATCGAAAAATGTATATTTGCAAAAAAAATCTGTATTTTATTTTTTATAATTTTGTACAGTGCGATAAACTTAAAAACTCTCCCCAAAATGCATTGCAGGTTGATTAGTGCACGTTTGACAATAATAAGTTGTTTGACGCCTGCCACCAGGTGTTTTCCTGTCAGAACAAACAATGCAATTCCGTTTTCTTTGTCTCACATCGGGAATACGTAGTTTCTTCTCTAATCTATTGTCCGCAGAAGATGTGGATGGACGTGTTCTCGATTCACGAAAATCACTCCTTAACTGGACAATGAGTGCCTTGACAAACTTGTGGTGTGTCATTGGCGTTTCATTATTTGTTTGTTTCGAGATACGATAAATAATGTACATATAATAATGTAAAAAACTTTTACCAAACAATTTATTTACCAAGAGAAGAATCACTTTTCCCATTTATATCTAGAGACGCGGTAGCGTCTCGGCGCCAAGTACATGAAAAATTATCCGTCACCGCGTATATATACCTGGCATTGAAGCTACCATGCTTCTATCTTTTACAGGAGAGAGGGTCCATTCCAACCTAACCTGAAACTTCTTTCATGAATATCTCAACACGCCTGCAATATTTTTTAAATTTAAAGGCATTTTTCTGATGTAAACCACATATAAGCTTTCGAATAAAACCAAAATCAATCAAATCGGTCCACGTACAACTGAGATATCGTAATTACATATCATGAATTTGTCAGAAACGGTATTTTTCGTATGATTTTCCCGTCGTCAACCTCTTAGCCAATAAGAGCTAAGCAAAAGCCGAGTGTCGTTCGTCGACTCTCGGAATCATTCGGTTCGGTCATAACCTGCCAAGTGTCAAAAGTTTTTACACTAATGCATTATTAATTATATTTATATCAGCAAAATGTTTTCAATTTAGACTTTTTATATAGGGTTTAATAACAAATTGCAGCCAGTGTTGTAAAGTGTTGATCGATCTTGATTACAAGGTAAGTTGTCAAAATCTGAATTGCCAGATACCTTTATTCATACAGAAAACTGTTTTTAATATAAATCCATACCAACAAAGTGTTTTGAATTTAGACTTTTTATGTAGAGCTTATAGAAATGGAGTCATTTTTTCATTTCATCATTAACATTAAAATTTCTTGCAGAAAGAAAAAAAATTGCAGGTATATATAATTATTTATAAATTGAACGAATAAGTGTTTATAATTAATAAATTATATGAAATATATATATATATATATATATATATATATATATATATTCGCTTTTGTTATCCTCTCTCCCTTTATTTTATTCTATTCAATTAAAGAAACAAATAATAATTTAGACTTCTTATGTAGAGTTTACAGAAATATCAATTTTATTTTTATAAATTTAAAATAGATTCTATATAATAAATAATTTGTAAAAAGAAGTGAGATCCGATAAAAGACTTCAAAAAAGTAAACAAATTACGCCAACTACATGAAAAAATGGAGGACTCAAGGAGTTATCATTGAAAAATAGAAGATCCCCATGAAAAACTACAAGAAAATAGAAAAAGATGTGAAATCGAAATAAGCTGCCAGATGATTTGCCTAGATTTCCGCGGCCTGGAAGTCAAATG